TTCCTTCCTTCCTTCCTTCCTTCCTTCCTTCCTTCCTTCCACATATAATATAGGCTTGTGCTGTTTGCCCTCCCCTCATGACCCTCAGCAGAGCCCTGGTGAAGCCTCCTCCTTCTCCTTCTCAGCTGACCCACAGAACTGCCTGCCACTTTGCTGTGGGGAGGTGGAACAAAGGGAGCCACAGACCATGAGGAAAACTGCATCCCTGCTTCCCATTCTGGCATGTCCCCATGAGCCCCCTCCTTCGAGGGAGGAAGAAGGCTCACCTGTCGACCACTGGTACCCTCCAGCCAGCCCTACCTCACCAGCAGGCATCCAAGTCATTCCCTCATCCTTCCCTCAATGCCCACAGCTGTTAAAAGATTTCAAATTTCTGCCTCATTTCCAAAGCAGCCAATCTCCACTCTCCTGTTGGGCCTTGCCACCAGCCAATTGGGTGCAGGGGAGGTGGGAAAGAGGTTAGGGATATGCCCATGACCTGGACTGACTGCAGCGGCATGGTGCTGAAGTGGCCACAAATTTCCCAAATTTCAATCCCACAGAAGTCATGGGTCCTGGATTTTGGGTACATTCTGTAAGTTAGCCCATTTGAGGTACCTCAGTTCAAAAATTGTTGCCCTATCATGTGCTGTTTTGCCCAATTGAAGGTTATAGACATGAGGGTTTTAGTAGTACATAGATATAGTATACAAACGTTTTACATAAAAAATCCTAAATCATTCCAGGATAGAGTTGGATAAATGTTGATAATGTTTTAGAAATAATCATTGTAGACAAGAACATGAAGCATACGTTCTCCCCAAAACCTGGAGAGAAAATCCATAGAGATTTCCCACATGTCTCTGTGACTGAGTTGGACCTAATCTTGTAGAACAATGGTGGGTAGTGGTGCTTTGAATGAACTTCAACCCTCAGTAACTTCAGCCAGCCTTGCTAATGGTGAGGGATGCTCAAAGTTGTAGTTTAAATGACATCTGGAGGGATACAGATTTTCACCCCCCCCCGTCCAACTGGACTGAAAAATAATACGCTTGCTGCCTGCTTGTCATAGAAATAGATACCCATCCTAATATTTCCTTTCAAAGTAAGGAATGTTATGCAGAGTGCAGAAAAGGAGCATGAAATATTAAGAAAAGAAACTAAAGGCATGAAATAAGAAAAAGACTAGTTTACTCCAACACTTTTCACTTTGTCTTTCCATACCTTTCTTCTACAAAGTCTGTACTACTTCATACATTGTCTTTTGTTGTTAAAACTTCTCACCTCATTCTTTTTCAAAATCTCATCAACTCAGTCTCTTCTTCTTGACCCATTCACACTTCCTTCTTATATTGGTTTTGCAGTTCTATTCTCAACCATTCTCTCTGTATGATGACACCACCCCAATACAATTCTTTTGTAGTGTCACTCACTTTTGTATTCAATCTACATCCATTCAGAAACCCCTCATTCTTTACCCTATCTCTGTTTGTTTTACCATGCATAGGTCTTAAGTAAATGATTCTCACTGCATTCAGCTGTTATTTTTCTCTTGACAACCCAACTCTCATTTCCATATAACAAAACAGGAAGAAGCAGGCTCTTATATGCATCAATTTTTGCTCCTTTTGGCAAATATTAATTCCTCACAACAGACCACAGGCTACAAAGCTTGCATGAAAATAGTTTAAAAGGGTGAGAAAACTGGAGTCTTCTATGTTTAAATAAATGATCAGTACTGTTCCTACATAATTGAGTTACATATGTATAAAAAGATATGTGCTCTGATCTCACTGGTATTACTAAATAACAGTCTAGGGTCTGGAAAATATCACCTGTCAATAAGGAACCCACGGATAGTGACACAGGGGCAGAAGAATAGATCATTACTTGATATTGAAATGTAATATTGCAGCAATATTATTGTAGTAAGCTTAATATTGTAGCAATAGTAGCAACATAATGAACCTACAACCAGAATCATTTCCCCCTCCTGATATTGTGTACTGTATTTTGCAAAAAAATTTAACATTACATTTTCTGGGAAGGTCAAGACTATTGTTTCTTTTTTCTTTTTGAACTGCTACTGGTTACCCTGAGAAAGAACTTGATCCATGCTGTGAGAGGAAGAGTAGAAAGGTAACACTAGGAATGTGAAGAATGTAAACAAAACATAGTAAAAAAAAGATTGGCCCCTTCTGGCAAAACATTACAGTCCCATAGTACTTAAGGTTCTTTTGAATCAGCCTTGACGGCCCAAACTTGGACAGAGACCAGGAAGATCCAGTTCTTCAGGAGAACCTACAGTAAGCAAAGAACAAGTGGAACCAATCAGACCTAGAGAGGACAGATCTCTGGAAAGCACCCTAGACTTTTGAGGAAATAAGATACTGAAAATCTATCAGCAAATAGAGAAGAATTTGGACATGAACTCTACCTTGTTTTCAGCCTTTTCTCCATCTGCGTGGCTTGGTTTCCAGCTTATTTCAATCAATACTCATCTTGATGGATAGGAAGCTTGACTGGCTATCACTTCTCTTGTATTCCATCAGATGTAAGTTACTCTGTAGACTCTGTTTCTTTATTCATTTCTGAGTAGGATGAATGAGGCCAGAAATTCAGGATTAAAAGTGTGGTTTTCTTTACAGGTGTATCCTGTAAATGGAAGTAACTTTTATAAAGAGTTGTGTCTTGCTGGTAGGAGTAATACCTGAATGAGGAGAAGGCAGTGCAGGGAGCCACAATCCCATAAAGGTGTATGAGCTGTATGTATGTGTGTATATATGCATGCATGCTCTGGATATTAGGATTTCAGCACATATTAGTGTTGGAGGGTAACTATAGATAGGAATGAAGGCAGACACATGCGTGCAGCTAACAAGTGAATACAGTGCTGTCTATTACTCTACAAGCCTAGTGCAATATGTATTTATAATAATTCTAATGATCAAGTCTTTATGTGTGCATGTTGTATATATAGAGAGTGATGAAGTGTATATGCAAATATGTACACTAACAAAATTTAACCATATTAATAGAATTTTAACTCAATGAATCTAACTCAACTCCTTTACTTTATATTACAAAATGTTTACCTGCTTCCCTCACACTTGCCCAGTTTTCCAGTTCCTGAACCACCTGGCACTTCTGCTTTGCCACTATCCACAGGGGCTGTGTTTTCCTCTGCAGGTTCCTTCACTAGCTTCTGCTGCCTCAGGATCCTTCTGTTCTTCCTGGCCCTGGATCATCCGGTTCCTGGCTCTCCCAGCTGCTGCTTCCTTGGCTCCATGTCTCATCTGGTTGCCTTTCACTCCAGGAGCGTCTTCTGCCAAACACAGAAGATGCCCCCCCTTTTTTCTCTACCTGCTCTATGCTTCTTTCTTTCAAAACCTTGCAGGTGATTCTAAGGAGTTTAAACTTTCTTTTCTCTGTCACTGCCTGTGTGCCTAAGCTGTGCACCTGACAGTGAGAAACAAACGAACAAACATGACCTTACAGTTGCACGTAACATGACTTTTTGTTTTACAGCTGTTAATCTTCCACAGTTGGACACCATAAACTGGGCTATGTATGCTTTGTACCAGATCTAATGTAGTTCTACTTAGTTATCAGTGGAGGCTTATCTGCCCCAGCTCTGCAGAGTAAATGGTCCAAAGGCTGGAGTAGTTTAATAGCCTGTTCCTCAAGTGACAAATTATGTTCACTCAAGCACCATGGGAGTAGGAACCCTGTGTGAAGAGAAGGCATAAATGGGTGAATAACGGGTGAATGGGTGACAACCATTAAGAATTCTCAAAATCTGTCACTGATGTTCTCTGCTCACCCTTTTTGTACACTAACCTGACCATTAAAACAAGAGGACAAAAAGATAGATCACTTGTAGCCCTGATTAGGACACACGCCTCCCTGTGTTTACCCCATTGAGGAAACAGCCTGATTGACTGTGGAAATCCATGGACAATTTCTTCTGGAATTGAGAAATGTACAAAAGGGGCAGGTATATTGAAGTTGTTGATCATATCCTACTGACCTCTGTGGTTGGAGGGCTTGCTGGAGACACAGATCTTAAGGTGGCCTGAGAGATAATGGTCCAACATTATGCAATATCTTTCTACTAGTATTTCCACATTTTAACATTTCTCCATCTTTCCAAGCTATACAATTTCATCTATGTGCTGTAGTTGCATTAATTTTCAGTTCAGTATCCCTTGTTGTATCATATAATCTATCATTCACTGCAAATAATTCAGAATCTCAGAGAAGAATATGGCATCATCTTCATATAAATGAATATTCATATCTCCAACCAGCACACTTCTATCATCACTACAAGTATCCCTTATATGTTTATCCAAAAAATACATTAAACAATCAAGGGAACATCACAAAATTGAAGCATTTGCTAAGGATTCTGTTTTTTCTCATTTGTGCTTTACTTACATCAAGTATTGGTCTTACTGTATATTTACCAACCAACCAACTCCTCATTCAC